AGATTTCTTGATGCAAGTATCCACTTCCTGACCCAACAAAATTTGTTCTTCTCCTTTTTATCTTTCTAGGTAAGTTTCAACATTTTCGATTACATACCACTAAAATCTAAACTCTACAGGGCACAACTATCAGTCAAAAGCTGGTCAGCTTCACGAAATAAACTGAATCGTAATTGTGTGAACTGTCCAAGACTCTCGCAGATTCAATTTTCACTACCCCACCCAAAAAAAAAATACTGACGAAATAGAGATCGAAAGCTTTGCCCGTGACAACGTAGCTTAATTGTCAGCAATAAACTAGGACTGCAAACCAAACGCATGCAAATGGCCTTACTTAAATTAGTGTATTGGATGTCAACTAGTCCCGGACTATAAGGGGTGGTTTCGCATTTTGTAAATAAATTCATTTACCTTTTAGGAGTCTCTAATTAAAGTAGAAATTCTTATTGTTGTTTGCAAACGGACCCGTTCTCTACCTTCCTTTGCATGGACATTTTCGTTTCCTTATTTAAGGCAGTATCAGATTTCAATCAATAAACCAATTATAGGATTTATTTACCACGCAACAGTAAGGGGAAGCACCTTAAGAGAATTGATCCTTTGGGCTGATTGGAACTTTCTAAATTAATCTTTTCTATCGAACTGTAGATCTTTTGCAGACGTAACCAAAAAAGTTTTTCCTAATAACAGAAAATTGCCTAAGTGAACTTTTAGATAACCATTTAGGTCATAGTTTAGTCGTAGCTAAGTTGGATGAACAAACATTTTAAAAAGTAAAAGGTCATCATGAAACTTATAATTTGGCTTTCATGCTGATAATCTTCCATCTTTGTCTAACCGGTAAATAAAGCTACATATGTGTAAAATACTGTTTGCTGATGACGAACGACGTTTCGGCCACAACGATGGCATTTTTATGTATAATTTGGCAATTCTGACAATATATTTTGTTGATGTGTTCTCCAGGTAAGACTTCGTTTGTTTTTTCTTTGCTGGTTTTGCATGGTGCAATATTAAAATTGCTATGATGGCTTAGCGGAAGATCAGCATGTTACACATGACCTTTTAGACTATTAGTCTAATCATATTAGCAAATGTCCCTGAAATCATTGTAAAGTCTAGTTTTGTTGATGCACGTTGTTCAAGGGGGTAGTTAAAACCTGGATGCATAAAATGGGTACACCAATTTTTGTGGGAAAACTTTTTATTCGACAACAAAGAATGAGGAAGCACGTTTTTTGGGATTCAATCGAAAGTCTTGGCAGGAACCAAAAAACCATTCATAAAAGATTTTTAGTCTTTGAATATTTCTAATTGTTTATCCCAAAACACTGGCCATCACTACTAGTTTACTGAGCAATATACATGGTTCGCTCAAAAGACGTTTTATAGCAAAATACAAGAGTTTACCTTGCCGAAATCACGTTTTTTCATTCTTTCTTGTCGAATAAAAAGTTTTCTCACAAAAATCGGTGTACCCATTTTATGCGTCCATATTTTAAATACTCCCTTGAACAACTTGCACCAGACTTTTCAATTATTTCGCAAACTAGGGGTATTTTCATCTAATTTGATTAAACTAATTGTAGTGAAACAGTTTATTTAATATGAAAATGGAAGTACTGAACAAGCGGAGTGTCACTTTAAAGACAGAATTGTCGAATTGTACTTAAAAAAGGCCACCATTGTGACCGAAAGTTGTCATCAGTAAACAGTAGTTCAAACATAATTATGTGGTTCCATTAAGCGGTCATACAAACATGTAGGATTATAAGTAAATGATCATTCCGTGTTCTGTATGAGATTGACTATCTCGCCATATTTATATAGAAATGATACAGAGCAGGTGTTTTCGCCATCCTTTAGGTGCCATAAAGTCGTCTCCAATGGAAGCATTAAGAACGGAAGCATTAAAACCTCCCCTATATTGATAGGAATATGCTTGCAAATAAATTCCTCTTAAAAATTCTCCATAGGCAGTCCAACATTACTGATTGTTTAAGTCACCATTGATTAACGTATTCTGCCTGACAGTGATCAACCTAATACTATATTCTTGCACCCAAAAAACTATCGGAAATGATATGAGGTACCATAACCGTCAGCTATAAGAATTTGTCACAGTTGTGTTTCCCCTCTTCGCAGTAATCTATTTTACATAGATAAATGGCGCTGTAGTCAACAATATTTAAAATATTCATCTATAAAGCACTAACCTTTTTAAAGTAGATTTCTAATTAGGAGAGAAGAGGAGAAATATAGCTGTGACAAATTCTCATAAATGACGCCACGGTATCTCATTTCATCTCGGATGATTCTTTGGACGCGGGAGTATATTATCAAGTTGGCTATCTTCAGGTAGAACATGTGATGTCAGCCAAACTTCCAAGTCCTTATTGGAGTTGAAGAACTCTTCTTTATTGTATGCTACCATTCAGAAAGTAGACCCTAACCTCCTGCCATCTATAAATATAACAAATGCACCCTAACGCACCTTTTTTAAACGTATTGATGTCCAGGATATCTTAGCTGATCCCATCAATTCCTCGTTAGCTGTTTACACTGATGCTGCTGAGCATCAAGAAGGAAGTTTCTTTTCTTTGGTGCTTAACATAATGCCACTATTAAAAGGGTACAAGATGAATAATACAAAAGGTACGTTTCGAGAACAGTGAATTTAAAGTTTGAAGAGTCCTAGACTCGTGGTACAGGCTGGGTCATAGATCTGAAGGAGAAAAAAAGTTGAATCAAAAATGAAAAAATATTTTTTGGTATATAGGGTAGCCCAAAAGTGACAGCATACCAAACATTTTTTAATGAAAGATCCTTTTTATTTGTGTATTTTGAGATACTTGTTATGATTTATATTTCTTAGGTGTAAGCGTCCATGCCTGAATGAATTCAATTTTTTTTAAGTTATTGGAATTAGAAATGAGTCTTTTGTCATATGCGACACCCTGTAAGATATAAGAGTTAATTAACCAGCAAAATGCCTATCTTATGTTTTACTAACTGTTCTAATATGAGAACTACCTTAACGGGAAATTTCTTACGCAGGGCCTAGAACATGAGAAAAAATGTGATTTTCGAACCTCAGTGGATCAAACACATAATTATCTCTATTCTTTTTCTAATTGGTACAGGAAAAAACAATGAACCAAAAAAAGCTTTATTCAAAAGAATATAGAACAAACAAAACAAAATTAATGGTAACCGCTTAAAAGTGATTACTTAGTGTTTATTTTTTTCGTCGCAGATTGGTGTATGGTAAATTGTTGTGTAGCTACTATACTACAACTATTTAAAACTGTAATGACTCATACGCGTGATCAACACGTGATCGGAGCTCGATCCCGGCTTCCTTCCAGTACAGCCGTATAGCGTACGACATATGTCGTTTCTGTGGCTTTGCGGTGGTCAACAGCACAGACAGAGATGGAAATAATGGCTGATTGTTCTCCGCCGGTAGAACCAATGAAATCAAAGACGCGCCTCGACCGGCAGACTCATAGGCGTCGGCAACGCATTGGAACGTGTTTCGTTGAGCGATCGCATGTTGTATGTTTGTGTGATTGTTATTGTTGTGGTTGCTGTGGTTACTGTTTTGGTTATACTTAACCATGGAGAGTACAAATGGCACGAGTGGAAGTACTGAAAGCCAGGGAACAAGTAGACGGCTTCGTAAAGCACTGAAGAGGGACACGAAAGAAATCGTGCTCAACGTGTTCAATTATCAGGTCACACAGTTAAAAAAACCTGGATAGACAAAAACGTAGTGAGTAACCGACAAGCAAGCATTGAAGGTTTGTCAACAGGTCTTCGTGGACCGTTAGGGAAAGGTCAAAGATTGATCGTAACTCATATTGGTAGCGATAGTGGCTTTTTAGAAGAGTATGACTTGATTTTCGTCTCTAAGAAAGGAGGTGATTACCATGACGAAATGAATGCCATCTGCTTCGAGAGCTGGTTTCAAGGGGTGCTTCAGCGAGTTGAGCCCAACTCTGTGATCGTCATGGATAATGCTTCCTACCATAGTCGTCGAGCCGAACGTGTACCGACTATGGGATCTCGAAAAAGTGACATGCAGCAATGGTTGCGCGAAAAAGGAATCCCGTTTGACGATTCATGTGTGAAAGCGGAATTGTATGAAAAAATTAAACAGCACAAACCTGCGAACATTAGTTACGTGACTGATGAGATGGCCCGTCAATGTGGTGTCACTGTGCTGCGGTTACCGCCCTACCACTGTGAACTGAACCCAATAGAGCTCATCTGGGCTCAAGTGAAGGGTTATATTGCGCGCCATAACACAACCTTCAAATTACCAGACGTTAAAGTTTTACTTGAGACTTCCATACAGCTAGTAACGCCCGAAGCTTGGCAGAATGATAACCGTCATGTTGTGAAGGAAGAAACAAAAATGTGGCAGCTTGACCACCACATCGACACCATCATAGAGCCAGTTATAGTCAATTTCAACGAGGAAAGCGATAGCGACAATTTATTACTGTCAGATGTAAGTGGAAGCGACGATGAATAAAGGTAATTCCCAAATTTTTGAGTTACAATATGTTTCAATCCACTCTTTATTAAGCATGTGACAAATCTAGTTCACCCATGTTAAACATTCATACCCCGCCTATGAACAGCTGGTAGTTAAGTGATGTTCACATGAACATCGATGAGTCATTACAGTTTTAGATAGTTATAGTATAGTATCGGTGACGATTAGTGGACGTTAATCTTTTTTCATACAACGGCTGTGACATGTATATTTTTTTCTATGCACGGCATTTTCAATTGGGTTTAACTACGGACTGGCATTATCTTTTCGTGTTTCCGATACCTCTTGGTATTAAGACTAGGTACATGTTGCCGGTTCCAACTATAATACACCAATTTTGTGTCACTCATCTTTTCCCCTGTAACCTTCATTTTTTGAAACATCATTTACAACTGTGCCGACACTGCTTTCCACTTCTGATTACCATCTAACTTACCTGGAAACGCAAACGATGATGGAGAGATTGGCAACCAACGATACGAAGAAGATAATCGAAAACATAGCGACTTCCAAAATCGTCTGTGCATAGGGCTTATCACCCAGCTCTGAGTAGTATGTAAAAAAGTATCTGCCTCCCCATCCAGTCTCGTTGTCGATACCGAAAACATATGACGTGTTCCAGTCGGGATCCATTTTGCACGGTTCCGAATCATTCCTCCATCTAGAAAAGAAAAAAGGAACAAGTAGGTTGACTCTGAGACTCCAAACCTAACATCATATGTAATATACAGAAATAACACGCCATAATGACACGGGAGTTAGATTGGCCTCAGATCAGATGAAATCAACATGACGTTTGTAAAAGTTTTCTAAAGTTTAGTTTAGAGATATTGCAACTCTTAGGCTTTTTCAAAAAAATCCCTACTTTTTGCTCCTTTTTTGCCTGTTTTGGCTATAAAGAACTTATTATTTTTACCTGGGCCACAATTTATTGTTGGTTGAGACGACCGAGCATTAATTTCAACGAAGACTAGCACGGTATGCTAAGAAAGATTAAATTACTACATTTGGTTTGAATGCGAAAACCTTTACTAAAGATTGACCAATTACTGTGACAAAAAATGTACCATACTGAGTCAGCAAATGACCTTAAAGGTAGCTATTTAATGCTTTTTCAAAAATAGTATACTATATATATATATATATATATATATATACTAATTTGAAGGTCCTTTTTACTAAAAAATCAATAATTCCAACTTATGTCATTCAATGAAATTAATACTCGGTTGCCTCAACCAGCTAATAAAGGTAGCCCAGGTAAAAAAACATAAGTCAGAAGTTCTTTATAGCCATAACAGGTAAAAAGGGCCCAAAATAGAAATTTTTTAAGAAGCTTAAAAGTGGCAATATCTCCAAAACTAGAAAACGTTTATTAAGGTCACGTTGATTTTATCTGATTGATCTGCAGCCAATCTACCTCCCGTGTCACTCTGGCGTGTTGATTCTGGGGCGCCCTGTATAGTCCAAAAAATCGATCAAAGCAACCTAAGGGAAGTCACACTACTGCTTTTTAATATATTGAATATCGCTTCCTAGATTCTTGGAAGAAAAGCCAACTACGTACATGTATCACAAAACATTCGAATGGAGCCGAAAGTTGACTAGGTATGACCTTCTGGCCAAATAAAACACCATACGTATAAATTACTTTTTGCTATCGTTTCGGCCACCACGGTGTCATTCTTTAGAGTACAAATTAATGACAATGACATCGCATCCCATATTTATCTGTCTTCCAGGTAACAGTTCATTTATTATTTCTTTTCTTTGCTACTATAAAGTGTACGACAACAGCCTGAAGGTTACTGTACTCACGCTGAGATAGCGGAAAGCCATCATTACAATTATTGTAATACGACACCGCGTAAAACCAGAGAAGCCTAGAAGCGATGAGGTAGTCATTCGCGATCCCAAATTACGTTGCATCGTTCATGGACCGGAAATGCAAGAAATAGTACTTTGACATCTCAAGGGCACGACCTATTGGCATCGAAAGTAGAAAAAATAGTGATACAGCACGAGCCTCATCGTTAACATATGAATAATCGAGGGTCCGCAAAATGTAGAGCGGGCAGAAGATTAATGCGATGTCCACAATGAAAGAAATAATAAATAACTGCTACAGTGGGGCAATATAAAAAAAGGGTAACATGAAGGCTGACCTTACAGCTTAGGAGCATCTTCAGATGATATTTCCTTTTTGTTGCCAAAAACTAACTAAGGCCTAAGCAAAATGACTCGTAACCTTACACGGAATGCAGTTGATCTGATAGAGTGAGATTCCAGGGCTGCAAAACATTACTTTCTGGAAGACAGAACCTAGGGCATTGAATAGCGTTTATTATACTTTAAATGCCTGCGTACCCGCTAAGTTAGTTGTATTTGCTGGTACCAGGTGAGAAAGGTTAAGTAGGAATAAGACTAACTTCTGATCGCTGATGTTTATATTTGCTTTATAAAATATTAGTACAAAGGAATATTCAGCATTGCCAAATGCTTTAAGCGAGCTGTCCCTCTATTAATCAACCTATCTCTAACTTGTTTCTGTGACGGCTTAGAAAAAAGTTTTATTTAAAAATCATGGGATCTAATATAAAATTTTTCATGTTAGTTTTTTTGTGTATACAGACAAAGTCCTATTGAATAAAGTTTTTACTTCCTACGCCATTGGGCGAGAAAGTATTGTAGTCACGACAAAATGAGATATGTTTTTTGGATGTTATGTAACATGTACATCACGATAAACTATGTCATTCAATTCCGTCAGTCTGCCGTTTTGTCTGTCTATCCTTCGTTGGGCGCTGCCGCGTCTGATGGTATGGGAATGGGCAACGTTCCAGATGGACGGTACGGAAAGAATGTCTATGGACTAATTGTATGGGCCTGTTTGACGGTCTTGATCGGTTTAATCTTTTTGTTCAACATCTTCGCGGCTAATTTATTCTTCAGATGGTTTAAGTTGTGCTGAGCTTAATCCTTTATGAACTGATGACGGTGTTTTGCAAGAAGTGTAGAGTCAACCTATTTAACGCAATATTTTAAACGAGACACTATTCGATAGCACTGACACCGTGTATATTTTTGCATAAAACATTTTCTCTAAACGTTAGTGGGAGAACAACATATAGCGGTACACCTTGATCAAGTCGTACGGCAGAAGTTATGGCTAGCGAGAAAGTTTGACTTCAGTCAATGTCAATTTCGGAAACCATCAAATCAATAACTTCTTCTTAGTGACTTGAGATATTTTTAAAACCTACAAAGCATGTAATTCGATATCCCTCGTAAGCAGCGCCATTCATCACTTTGTACAGTTTATATTTACAATGTTTATAGCAAATTATGACACTGACGTAGATATTATGTTCACCTGTGTATCAAAACGCATGTTCATAACTTGATACACGGTTACCTAACACCTATTACTCATCATGTAATAGGAACTGTACAATCAGCATTGTACAAGGAAACACAAGCAAATAACAATGCATGAGTAGTCAAATCAGGGACGTGATATACCTAAATATAGGCTATATACTCTGGTCGATGGTGGACAAATATAGTAGCCCATTTAGCTTGTCGAATATAATCAAATCATAAACCGTATAAAGCAATAATCGGTGATTCTGTAATCAAATTTTCATAGATGGATTTGCGACGTGATTTCGCACAGGTATTGCTAGTTTTGTACGCAGTTTTGGCCATAAGAACCGCACGCAAATTCCGCAGTAATTCCTGCTTGATTCAGCTATACCAAAAAATTACCTAAAAGAATTTGAGAAGAATATAAGACACATATCGACGTGTTGTCGTTCGTGTTAAGAAAATAGAGCACCAAGTAAATATAACTTTATTTCTATGACATTTTGTATACAGTTAGACATGAGCAAGATGAAGTAGTAACGGAATCTTAAAGTGAAAACGTTTGCTATATCGCTGGATTTTCCTAATGATGTGCTGAGCCACCGCAATGCCGTATACATTAGCCAGTCATATACTGAGTGACATTAGAAGTGTTACACCCAGAAAAAATAATTTCTTCATCTTCATTTTTGGCAATGAAGTAGTCTTACACCAATGATGAAACGAAAACATTCTCACGAAATTTTGTTAACAAGTAATAAGAAAAACATTAATAATGTGTTGGGCGACCCCGCAGCTGAAAACACTCCTGTACACGTCTAGGCATCGTCAAAATGACATGATCGATGTTTGGTTGTGGCACCTCATTCCAAGCAAGTCGAACTTCGTGGATTAGCTTAGGCAGAGTCTATGGCGGATGGTGCAAAGTGGGTAGTCCCCTCTGCATCATATCCCACGCATGTTCGATGGGATTTAAATCTGGTAAACGGGGTAGCCACGGCAAAACATTAACGCCTGCTTCTTGAAGAAACTCCCGTAGTCTGACGAGCAACATGGGGACGTGCGTTGTCTTGCTGAAAAAGAACGTGTGGACGGCCCTCTAGATACGGCAGCGAAGTAGCTTGTCCGACATCATGAACATAACGCACAGCAGTCATATTGCCTTTTTCTTCAGAAAGAGAAGGGGTGATCGGGTACCATAGGCAATAGCCCCCCAAACCACTACTCCAACAGTCCTGTGTACAAGCCTCTCAATAGAAAATCCATTATCATGCCGTTCTCCACTGCGACGTCTTAGCCTTCTAAAACCACCATGCGTACCTAGACAAAATCACGGTTCGTCGTTGAAGATGATATTATGACATTCTGCCTCCCAATGTTGCCGTTCTCTGCTCCAGTTCGAATGTTGACGACAGTGGTCCGCAGTCAGAGGAAACATTAACCGTCTACGGTATGAAAAAAGTGTAAAGGCTCCAATGCGGCGATAGAGTGTACGCATAGTAACAGGTCTACCTTCTTCTCCAAACCATTGGTCAGCGATCTGACGCGTAGTAGCAAAACGGTCGCGTAGGGCTAGTTATCTGAAGCGCCTTACTTGACGCTCTGTGGTAAGCTTCGGTGAACTATTTGGCCTTCTGCATGTTCCTCTACGTTCTTCTATCCACACACGACACACACGCATTACCATCATTGCAGTACAATGAATACGGCGGCCAATTACGGGATAGGACGAGTCGCTAACATGGTGATAATTTGGAGGTCTTCGAACTCGAGGCATTTTGTTATGCTTAACACTAGTAAATGAAAGGCAAATAACTCATTTCTCAGAAACTACTTTTTTCACAAAAACTAAGTCATAACATTTTAACAAAGGTAAACCAAAACAAAAATAAAACGTTGACATTGTTGCCACAGCATGCTTTAAATATAGTCATTCTCTTGCCAAAAAAAAAATCTTTGGTCAGTGTTGAAAATTGGAGGTTGTAAGCGATGCGGGAGGGCATATGAAAATTATTTGATGTGAGTACATTTATACACTCGCATTTACGGTAGTTCTACTAGGCATATTTCAGACATCATGGATTCCCCGTACATTTGCCTAAAACTTGGAATGATCGACAGATGCTTGCGATCCGCGCTTCCCTTCGCAATATATGCTCGCCATACAAATTTGGCAGGCTGTCCGGCTGTCAGGTGTGGGAATGGGCAACGTTGCCAGATGGATGGTAATTACGGTTTTTTTTACACGGAGGGGTTAAATTACGCGCACTTAATGCTTTATGAACTGATCACAGCACTGCGTAGGAAGTCTAGGGTCAACTTACTTGACGCCATTTTTTCACATTGTTATTTACATCGCTTACTGTTCATCTTATGGTTATACAATTATTATTCAATGTTCAATCTACACAATCAAATTCCTAAATCCGTCTTTGAGGCCCTCAAAAAATATTCGGTCCGGAGAAACCGTACAATGGATTGATCTACTGGCATGTCGGGTTATTAGAGATGCATTCAGCTATGAAAAAACCTGACAACATTAGCATTCTCATTAAAAGTTCTAAAACTGCGGTCGATTTTCCGAAACGAGGCAAAAAATGACTTCTTTTAAAGCAATACTAAGGAATCAAAAAATCCTCAAAGATTGCAATCAAATTTTATAGGAGATTGATTCCTGTTTTAAGAAATACCCTCACATTCTGTGTGCGATCACTGGTTACCGAGATATCAGTGGTAGACGACACAAAGATTCTTTTTCATTCAAAGTCATATAAGAAACATCTTCTGGGGTCTGCTAGCCACGCTGGTTGATATGTTCATTTTTTTATTGTCTTTATTATTTTTTTTTGTTAGAGCGGGCTATGTAGAATAGATGTACAACATATTAAGATTAATCTATTTAAGGCTTAATTATTGTTTATATTATTTAGTCGATTGGTATTCATTATTATATCTTTCTTTTTGTATGTGTTCCTGCGCTGTGAGGTTAAGTGGTAGAGTAGCCAGCTGACTAAACTTCGCCTCGCAGTGTGGATGGATTAATAAAGACATTATTATTATTATTATTATTATTATTATTATTATTATTATTATTATTATTATTATTATTATTATTGTATCTCCACATCAAATGATGGTACCGGGATTTCAAAAACATGATAATGAAGCTGAATAAATGTGAAGGCCTAATAGCAGAACATGTTTTCCAGCTCGTAGACTAAAAAGAAGACACACATCTGGCAGAAAATTTTTCTTGCGCTATCTGTTGGAATTGCAAGAGAACCGTACCTCCTAAGATTTTTGTGGTAAAAAACCTAAAAATTTAGATACGGCCATTTAAGTGACACCGTAAATGTGCGAAAAATGAATGCTTCTTTATCACCAAACGATACACGCAACCAACACAAAAACTTAACAAAAAACCTGACCATTTTATCACTTGTTTTTCATGGCAAGATAAATCCGTATGTAAAAAATTCTTGAATTCTAATAAATATATGTAGGTGTTTACCTTCTTTTGTTACTCAGTATTTCATGTTAAGCTGTGTACAATGTAATAAAAGAAAAATATTTGAAACGCAATTATCGCGAAACTACTGATTTGGACTTTACCTAGTCTGGCTATGAGGTACTGATACATTATCTGGTCTTTATGTGGTTCTAACATTTTAGATCTGAATGTAAGGAGTAAAGTTGCCAAACCAGATTTTACCAATTATTCTTATACATCCTAAATGCCATTACCCGAAATCCATTCTATAGACCAGTCGCTGGATGGAACTGTGTGTGCAAAATGTGAGTACCGCACTCTAAGTACGAGTATGAGCAGATATCAGCTGACAAGTGGTCAAAGAGTAATAAGTCTGATCTTGCCACGACACGTTTTCGTTGATGTTTCTTAATCCCTTCCCCTCTTAAATCAAAACCTACAAAAGGTTTTTTGCTGAGTTTTTCATCATTCTGAACAAAAAAGGTCCTCTGTAGCTTTTCTAGCCGTTTCTTCCGATCCATAAGCCATTTAACATCTGGAAGACTCTAAGAATGCTCATCTTCAATGATTAATAACTATGTTAAGAATCGATATTTTTGAGGTTATCAGGTGTCTGAATTAAAGCTAAAAGCTTTCCCTGTACGACTCCGAAATGTATTTAAAGATTGATTTATTTTAAAGCGATTCTTAAGCTAGTCTGTTAGGTCAAAATTGTCGATCTTTTGATTTTCACAGACTGCTCATAGGTACCACCTTTATTAATTGCAGCTAAAACCGATGTTGCAAAATGTATAAGCAGGGCGTCCCAACAGTCATGGAAAGTTAATGATGGGACGTCATTTCCAATCAAAAAAGTCATGTATGTCCTTATCCAATTACGGTCTTTGAGATATCGTCCTTTTTAAGAACAAGTAAAAAATCGATACTTTTGTGACTGAGGTGCTTTTTCTGAAATTATCTTTTGTTATTACCAAATTTTGTCAGAAAATTCGTTATTGAATTTAGTTCCTTTTACAAATTGCAATCCTGCCTAACAGGTAAAAGAAATTTTTGTACTAAATTTAAAAATCACTGCCCTAAGCCTAATGGTTTAGTTGTAATTGCGATTGAAAGTTCATTATCCCGTTTTTTTTTTCGAAATTTCACAAATTTGCAAATATCTCCTAAAGTACAAAATTTTGGACCACACATAGAGGGGTTAATTCGATAGGTTTTGAGGCTCTTTATCACCTGACCTCCTTTGATCCACTTCTAACTTTACACCCTGTATGTATCATTTTTCTCGACATACAATGAAGCTGTTTTTATTTTTTCCTCGAACACAATGTATGTTACAAAGAGATACCAAGAGACGAAAAAGCTGTATTATTAGCCGCCTATTCCGAAAAAAAAAACATTTAAGCAGCCTACATTTATTTGGTAATATTGTTCGTGAGACTGCCCTCCGAGACACCACTGGAATTTGTAATTATCTTCTAGTTATCACTAAATTAGTATCTTAATACATTAAGCGACAATACCAAAATTCAACAAATGGACACAGAAATCTTTGGAATGGTAAAAAATACTAAAATGTTTATAAAACTTTGAGACCCTACCAAACTTCCTTTAGGGCACATTTTATGTGAACTTTGCTAGTTAAGTTTGGTTCAGGAGTGCGTAGTTATAAGTACGGCCTACCATTAATACCCTATCTTAAGCATTTTAAATGTCTAATGGGTTTTACAGTAGAAACCTAATACCTTTTTATTCATTAACTTCCTCATAACTTTTTGGTACTACACATTTTTTTAGAGAGGTCATTTTATAGCACAGTGAAACAAAATTAATATTTTTTTATATTGTCAATCTTTAGATTCCTTCAAATTGATATACTTAGAACGATGCGTCAGAAGTATCAAGTCAATCTTCATCTTTACATCCACTTTGCTCCGTAGAAAAAAATTGAAACACCGTCCAGCTCCTTTGAAGTCCACATGCCCTAATTTAACGTAATTATTTCCTCAGCTCTTACCTTTCGGTGCATAAAGCGGAAGAGCACCCACCTGTCCAGCCGGTAAACACGTGTAGGCGCCAGTTGCGACGCACGGGCGGTCGACGCGACAAATAGAAAATAGAAGCGCTCCCGCGCTAAGCCGGTTTGAACACGACAGGATCGGGAATATCGGAACTGGCAGATACACGCTCCGGCGCCGTGTCGCTACTGCGGTGCGGCGTGGATCTGAAGTTCTGAAGTGGCGGAGACGTTACTGTAGTGTCACGTAGCGCGTATTCCGCGTCGTGTGATGCGACGGAGCGTCTGTCACGGTAGACTGGGTTTTGCCAGGGGACCGACCGGGGCATCAGCGACGAGGTTCTATCTCTGCGACTCCGGGCCCGGATCGTGTATCACCTTTGCTTACACTCACAATATACTGATCAGGCTAGGTGATCATGCCGCTTGGGAAATGGCGTCAAGTAGGTTGAATCAACGCTGAAACCAGTTCATAAAGGATTATGCTCCGCATCCAAGTTAGGTAGGAACATGCATAACAGACGACTCAAATGGATCAAGTCAGTTAAACGGGCCCATGCGACAAGTAGGTAGTCCTCACCCATATGACAACGTTGCGATCTAGAAATTTCTCCTCTGCCCTTCAGGCATTACCGACTGTCTGTCAACGTTGGTAAGAATAGCCTTGCGAGTTGTAAGCCATTCATGTCTCAGACACGTCTGTTTTAAGAGCAAACGTATAATGTGTGCGTACAATTACACGGGGTTGGAAGCGCATACATGTACTATCGCCAGAAAATTGAGATATACTCTCCCCATCCCATACAACCCCAACCCCCATTTTTTATCTCTACAAACATTTTTCTGCAAATGATCAAGAGCCTCCAAAACGTCTAATATCGAAGAATTTCAATTTTATTCATTTTTTGTCCTTAGCGCCGGCGCCACTGGACCAATTTTCAGAAACTACTTTTTCTTCTTTAGCATCTTCCATAGTTTGCTTTCTAGGAAGTTTCTGTGCAAAACCTTGCTACATTTCTGTTCAAACCCGCATTTATTCGCAGCCAAGTTGAGTACTTTTTAAAAGCTATTGAAATATATATTTGAATTAATGAAATAACGAGTTGATTGCGATTGAGTACAAATGTTAACTTACAAGAATGAACATAAACTAATAAATGATAGCCTTGTTTCAAATAACGTGTCTTCACCTTCGTAAGTTATGTAAACGTTATAGTTGTTTATAAAGCCAATTATCTAAAGGTATTGAGTCCATAATGTTTTAATCATAATATCCATTAGCAATTATCAAACGAGATTTAAACGATTAGTCAAGACTGTTATGAATTATTTACGTAAACAGTCACTAAATAATTCAAACTTGTAGGTAATGGATTAAGAAGTACAAACGATTCTATTGGTTTCCAATGTCAAATAATTTTTAATCAGAGTAGCTTATTTCTTATAAATTTTGGGCATATAAGGCTCACATTTCAACTGTGTTCGTTTGCATGTGGAGAATTGAGTAAGCATTGGTTATATTCAAAAGTGGCGGTATAAAATATTTTTTTTCTTCTGCTTGTGTATATTCTTTTTAATCAATCCGGCGGGTTACTAACCTCAAAATGGCAAAAGTAAACAACTGCTTTAATTCCGAAATTCTATGTTTTTTTAAAGAAGAAAAGGGAAAAACCTTCGGTTATCCATGTGATATTTGCCGTCGTGTGATATTTGAAAAATGCAATGGAACAATGGCCAGTAAAGTCAGAGTGATACCTAGTCAATCGAGAACTCTCGTTTATGTATGTCCAGAGTGTCTGGTTCTCTTCAACCAGTTTTCAAAAACGTTTGAACGCCTTGAATTATTAGAAAATGAGGTGGACCTAATGAGGAAGCAGCTCACATTAAATAATATTCAAAACTGGCTTCTGTTGTGAAGGATTCTTTTGAATCATGTAGTAAAGCTATATCTGAAAGACAGTTAAATGAAACAGTAATGATGCTAAAACCAGAACCAAGCAAACAACAACCATCATACATTGCAAGTGGTATGAAACCAAGTGCTCCAAGAAAAGAAGGTGAAGTGCCTCAAACCTCTGCAAAAGCTGTTAATCCAGCAATAATGGAGGCCCAAACAGTCAACAAGATAAAGAAGGTGCAACGGTTAGGAAGGACTGAGTCCAGAGATGGTGAGTGGCAAGTATCCCGACCACGAAGATCGCGACGATTTGTAGTGGGATGGAATGATGAGCAAAACCAGATTCAATCCATCTCAAAGTTCTCCTCGCTACACGTAACCAGATTAGCCGCAGCGACTAAGCCGGAGGACCTGCGGGCCTTTCTTCAACCACTCTTTCCAGATGTTCAGTGCGAAGAACACTTATCGAAGCACCCAGAAATCTACTCGTCAATGAAAGTTACAATCAGACAGGATGACTTTGACAATGCATGGCGACGTGAAGTATGGCCAAATGGCACCGTGATTACCAGGTTTTTTGCGAAGAAGAGGATGCCGCCAACCCAGCCGGATCCTTAGGTCAGAAGCATCATATATCGACATTAGTCTTACAAGTATATCACCAAAATGTTCGTGGCCTCAGAACTAAGGTTAGTGAACTCTATACTAACTTCTTAGCAGAATAATATGATCTAGTTCTAGTTGTTTAAACCGAAACCTGGCTCACAGATGGTTCTCAAGATGCAGAACCCTTAGATGATAGATTTATCATAGGAACGACAGGAAAGATGGAAGAAGAGGCGGAGGGATTCTTGTAGAAGTGAGGAAGAACTTGAGCATGGAACTCATCCCCACTAATATTTCTAATGATTCCAGTCTTCAGTACTTACTGGTAAAAATAAAACTAAAAAAGAAATTTGTTTATGTGTATGGTGTCTATATTCCACCAAATGTTAATATTGATATATATGTGCAATTTTTTAATATCTTTGAACCTATTTTAGATAAGGATGTAAATATTGTCATTTTAGGGGATTTTAATCTACCACACTATGTGAATGAAGGCTGTGATAAGAGTGAGTTGTTAAATAATTTTCTAAATCTTTATAATTTGGATCAGCTTAATACTGTGTTCAACATAATGAAAGTAATATGCCCATAATCAATCTAGAACACTGTGGTAATCCTATTCTTAATGAAGATCAATACTATCCGGCTTTGAGTATGATCTTATCAATATCTATAATTCACAGATTGAATCAAAATAACAGTACATATGAATATGTCTATGATTATTCAAAGGGCGATTTATATTTGCTGTACAGATTATTGAACGATGTTGATTGGTCAGAACTTGAAACAACCTCAAATGTAGCCAAGTGCATAGATATGTTCTACCAAAAGGTTTATGAATGTTTGGACCTGGCAATACCTAAAAGGAAAATTAAAAAATGTACTTCAAATGCCCAAAGATATCCAATATACTTTTCACAAGAACTAAAGAAAAATATTAAATTAAAGAAACGCCTTCACAGACAAATTAAAAACGGCAAAGCTAGCTTTCAACTAAAGAATGAATATAATGAAATTAGAAGTGCAATCAAATATCAGACTACAACTAAACTATCATGAAAAAATGGAAAAAAAATGTAAAAACTGATACAAATGGGTTTTGGGACTTTGTCAGGTGTAGGCGTTCTGGACCTGGTATCCCTGCTGCGGTATGCTATAAACGATGTACTATTGATGGTGCCCAGGAAATTGCTGATACATTTGCTCTGTATTTTTGCTCTGTGTTCCAACAATCCGAAAAACAGAACTTTGACGTTTGTAATGGTAACTTCTCTTTCTCTCCTATCTCATAAATGCAAATACAGGCAGCCATTAAGACGTTAAAAGCAAAAATGCCACTGGCAATGATAATATTCCTTCATACTTATATACAGGTTGTTCTAATATCCTGTGCACTCCATTACAATCTTTGTCTTAAAACAAACACATTTCCAGACACTCTTATGTTAATATGCTGTGGTTACTCCAGTCCTCAAAACAGGCAATAATTCTTTGGTTGACAACTACATGCAAATTAGCGCTTTAAACTCTCTTGCGAAAATATTTAAGAATATGTTGTATCAAGATATTTTGAGCTCTCTTATGCATAGGTTCTCTCTGCAGCAGCATGGTTTTCTGCCCGATGTCTCAACTGTTACCAACCTCAGAATCTTGACTGAGGCAGCTGCCGGGGCAATTGACAACAAAGAACAGTTGGATGTTGTTTTTACGGATTGTGCGAAATCCTTTGATCGGGTTGATCATGGTCTGTTGGTGAACAAGTTGCGTAAATCTGGGTTCTCAAAAAGTACATGTATGCTTATGGCATCATTCCTAACCTTAAGGCCGCAGCAGATTGAAGTTGGTAAGCATTTATCAAAGATGAACATAATAACATCTGGGGTGCCCCAGGGCAGTAATCTTGGGCCTCTCTTATTCATAATTTTTCTGAATGATTTGCCAAACTGTGTAAAATATGTCAAATGTCTCATATTTGCTGATGATTTTAAAATATAAAAGCATATAACTTGCCTTCAAGATTGTATTGAGATGCTAACTGATTGAAGTTCAGTGTCACAGTGGTTCAAGGAGAATAAAATGTCGTTGAATATTGCCAAATGTCATAGTTTCACTTTTACACGAAAAGCAGAATTTATAGATTTTAATTTTTTTAATTTAATTACAAAATTAATAACTTATTGCTAAGTAGGAAAAGTGAATGTCAGGATCTTGGTTTCTGCTTTCAGACTAAGCTAAAATTTAATCAGCATTATGAAACTATTGCAAACAAATCATAGGGGATCCTAGGTTTTGTGATAAGGAATACAGAGCACATTAAGGAAACTAAGTCTATAATAATTTTGTATAACTCACTGGTCCGATCTGTTTTGGAGTATGCCTCTGTTATCTGGGCACCCAAAACAATGGTGCATGTTGATATGATCGAACGGGTACAAAAAAGATTTTTAAGATATCTGTACTTAAAGACACACAATGCTTATCCATACATGATCTCTTATAATAGTATGCTAACAGAATTTAAAATTGTGCGGTAGAGCGTTAGGCGTGGTTTGAATTATATGTTGTTCATTTACTACATAATTATTAATTTAAAATATAAGAAGTGCTCCCTAATAAATAATATATTCTTTGCTGTTCCTAGAATCAACTTGAGAATAAGAGACCACAAACTCTTTCACTGTTCACCTGTAAGTTGTTCTTCCATCAATAGAATGATGTACTAGTGTAATAGTTATATACAAAATTGTGATGTGGATCTCCTTGCGACTACTGTGAGACAAATTAAGACTGATTTTAAATTTAAGTAAAACATCCTTATCTCATTTTATTTGTTTGTTAATTTTTATAGTTTTTCTTTGTCGTTATTCTTTAGTTATAAGTTTTTGTGTATTCTCTCTGTTTCTCTACTAGCCATTAAGCACTCCTACATGTAACTACATTCAAATGTGTTTGTAAGAGTTTAAATAAATAAATAAATAAATATATTCAAAAGTTTCGGTGTAAAATATTTTTTTTCTTCTGCTTGTATATATTGTTTAATCAATCCTCTAGCACAACTCCTATTTTGCTTTGGCTTCTGATGACATAGCACAAGTAGACAGATCGCTAACTTACCAGGTGCCGCAGGGTTATTATATAGAAAATGTAAAAAAATTAAATATCAACTTGTTGACTAAGTAGGCCAGTAGTGTACAGAGTTCATTCCGCGCTTGCCACAACTAAGCGAGGAGTGAACGACAGCTAGTTTCAAGTTGACGTCTTGTGGGAAAACCTACAGAGTGTCAAAAAACCGACATGACACTTTTCAAGTTACATCCATGGAAATTGCACACTGCGCAGGTGCACCTCGCTCTCTGTCATATCCATGCCCATCCATGTGTGGATGGAATAATACTCAAACAAATACGTTTTGCGAAAACCTATTTATGGGATATTGTACATGACATTTGAGGGTACATTTGTAAAATATGGGCCACTAAACAGGGTCTCACTTCCGACCTACATATCAAAGTTTTGGTTCTTCAAATGGAATGCCTCAAATTTTATTGCATATTTGGATAAACCAATTAAAAAAATGATATAGCATGCTATGGGGTTTGGGTAATTAAGTACTGAGGTATAAGGTGTTTTGCTTAGAAAAACCCCCCACTTCCGCAACCCCTCATTCCGCCATTTTGAAATTTGGAGTGCTGAATTTTGTGTGAAGAAAAACTTACACACCTTAGCCTTTATCTTATTTATTACTTTTTGAATTTGAATTTTTGCTCATGCAGGGTGTGCAAGTCTAGATTCAATATTTTATAAGCTTTTTTTTATACTAGACCTATAAGGGTCTTTACGGCTAATTTTTCGGTTATTAGCACGTCTTTTATGGAACGGCTTAATTCCCTAAAATATCGCATCATCCTTGGAAACAAATAAATTGTTGGTTAGTTACAAACAGTCAAAACTAGCTTTGTGAGCATTATAATAAAAACGTGTTTGAAAATGAATTTTTCTAAAGAAGAAATTGTGAATATGGTGTTCGTTTTGGCCGAAGCCCAAAGAAATAGTTTCATAATATCTCGCATTTATAAGCAACGGTACCCTAATATGCGACATCCAAGGCTGGAAACATTTTCCACACTACGAGAACGTTTTGAATCAATTGGAGCAGTGGAATATAGTAAAAAATGTATAAATGATCCAAGTGTCACCAATCAGTTGGAGTTTCTATTAAAGTTGCAGGAAAATCCCCATTTAAGTGCACGGCATATTGGAGCAGAAACTGATATATGCAGAACTTCTGACCATAGGATAATTCACAAGCATAAGTACCATCCATATCACCTATGCATGCATCAAGGCCTTCGTCCTCAGGATTTCGCAGCTCGAATGGAGCTTAGTAGAGTAATGCTAAATAAAGTGAGTGAAGACACTACTTTCCTGGATAAGGTTCTTTTTTGCGATGAGGCAACTTTTAACAGCATAGGTGCTGTCAACAGGCATAACATGCACTATTGTTTGACGGAAAATCCTGACTGGGCTAGGTAAATAGATTTCCAAAATAAATGGAGGTTGAATGTTTGGGGAGGAATTATTGGCAGACAAGTTATCGAGACTTTCTTTTTCGACAACAGATTAACAGGTACAGAATACTCGAATTTTTTGATCGAGCATTTGCCTTTGCTTTTGGATGATGTCAACCTGCAAACCCGGATTCATATGTACTTCCAACATGACGGCGCACCTGCGGATTATCATAATCGTGTGCGTAACTATTTTGACACCTGAAGTAACAATTGTTGGATCGGTCGTGATGGGCCTATATCTTGGCCTACTAGATTACCAGATATAACACCGAAGGACTTCCTTCTATGGGGCTACGTTAAGCAAGAGGTTAATAGATATCCACCATTTACCGCGGAAAATATGAAGGAAAAAACATGCTGAGGGATGTGCAACGGTCATTTATCCAAAGACTACGGCTGTGTATTCAACATGCTGGAGATATTTTCGAGCAGTTTTTGTAGATTAGGTCTTGAGTAGTGAAAGTTGTTTGTTTATGTTGTTGTTATAGTTATTTTTCTCTATTACAGTTGAAGCTGATTTATACTGTTCTGATTATTATTAGTTTTTACGTCAAATCTGTACTCTTAGTTGCAATATGGAACTAGCCCACTGTTTGTCTTTTGTTTCCATGGATGATGTGATTCTTTCCTTAATTTTGTTCAATTAAAAGCTTAATAACTCAAAATCTAGTGATTTTATCTGAATCAAGCCACACCAAAAAAAGGTTTATAAAAACTGAATCCAAACTTGCACAAATATACAGGGTGATGAATTTGAAATTTTTGAGAAAAAGTACAATTCGCGTTTTTGACCACACTGTATGAGCAAAAATGAAAATGCGAAAAAGTAACAAATAAGATAAAAGCTGAGGTGCGTAAGTTTTTTTTATGCAAAATTCAGCACTCCAAATTTCAAAATGGCGGATTGAGGGGTTGCCGAAGTGGACGGTTTTTCTGGACAAAACACCTTAGATCTCAGTAGCTAATTACTAAAACCCCATATTATGTCATATCAATCTTCATCCTTTGAATTTTATTATCCAAATGTGCAATAAAATTTGAGGCATTCCATTTAAAAAATCACAGCTTTGATATGTAGGTCAAAATAAATTGGGACAACTTGTATAATTGCCAATATTTTAGAAATGTGCTCTCGAATGTCATATATGTATAGCATGCCGTAAATAGATTTTCCCAAAATGTATTTGTTTATGCGTAATATTCCGTCCACACATGGATGGGCCACCCTGTATAAACACCTACACGTGTGGTGATATAGGAGAGAGAATGCAGACTGTCAGAAGACGTGGTTATAGTTGTAGTATATATTTAGACGTTGATGTTTCATGACAAAGATCAACAAAGGTAAACTAAAATCGCACGTCCATAACAAGCAAGTTTTCATACTGACATGCATCCATGTGGAACACCTATACGTTAATGAGAAAGTTTTTAAGGCGATGTGACAAAACTAACAACCGTCTGCGAGCTTATACAGACGCACGTCCA